GTTGGAGAGTGGTAAGGGAACTATCAGAAGGTTACACCGTAATCATCTGTTGCCCATAGGAACTGTCCCTATGGATCTTCCAGAGCCAGCACCCACTGCTCCTGTGCCTAAGCCAAGGCGTCAAAGAAGATCTCAACCAGAACCAGAACCGGAACCGGAACCTGATGATGTTGAGGAGGTCAGTGATGATGAGTTTGCTATAGCTTACGTGGAGAGAGATACACCTTTTGATCTTCCGGCTAGCCCCACAGTAGAGTTATTTGCAGATGAGGAATCACAGCAGGAATTGGATCCAGTGGAGCCGCAGCTTCAAGAACCTGTTAGTGATGATAGTGAGGAATCATCCCCTGTACCGGTACCCAGAACATCAGGAAGACGACGCCAACTACCATCCAAATATTCAGATTACATCATGCAACAATCTACTGCACCTTCAGTTAGTTTTAGTGTTGTCGAGGTGTTTGAATATTTACAGTCTGAAGAGTTTCATGGTTTGTCTGATAAGAACAGGAAGTTAGTTAGTGAAGCTTTAAGGCTTGCACATGGTTTTTAGTTTGTTTCGGATTTTATTTTAGTTTCATGTCGAGACGACATTTTCCCGTAGGGAGGGAGTATGTGGCAGGGTGCATTTTTATAAAAAACCTGGTTGTTTTATTTAATTGTTGTTTTATCTTAATGCACCACTACTGTTTTAATGAGCACATAATTACCTTGCACTGGCCTAATACTAAAGTCTTAATTATTGCCCTCTCTTAGTTTCTTAACTTAACTGATCTCACCTGACCTTGCCACCTTTTGGATTGGTCAGCTTAGTGAGCTTTCAGTGAGTTTCATCACCTATCCAGTCAGAAACTTTACTTTTATCTAAGTCCTTGAAGTTGAAGGAAGTGTGTTTCAACCTTTTATGAAATATTTCCTACTTTCAACTTTATCCTGTTACCCCATTTAGTTATTTTCTTTAAATAACTTCACAGGTATGTGTGTTTTGGGTATTTTCTAGGGTAATTGTCTTTCTGGTAAACTATATTTTGTATGAGAGATGTGCAATTGTAACCATGGTAGTTTAAATGTTAGTAATGGCAGCCATCTTTAATTTATATGCTTTGTGGAATTATAAACCTTCTTTTTCAATATTAAACTTATATTATCTATAACTATTTGTATTATAATTATCTTTAATTATAATTAGTTCACAGGTTTTGGTAATGAGTTTAGTTAGTTTGGTAGTTTAGTTATATACTGTAAATGTCAATATCAACTTAAAACCCCATCTTAAGGGTTAGTTTTATTTTACATTATATTATATATTTCATTAGTCCATTTCATAAGTTTTCCCTCCATGGCATATATTAGTTAACATAGTAATAGTGTAAGTGTAAATAGATATTTTATGTGCATAGATTTATATTAAGCTTTACTGTGATAATATTACTGTGATAATTGTAAGATATAGTATTGTATATTTGTGTTGTATATATATCTAATTGTTTAATATTATCATTACAGGGTTTTTATTAAAGTTTATGAACTGATAAAGATAGTTTTGATATCATCTGAGTTAGTTTCCCCCCTCCCCCCCTGAGCTAGCCCGGCTACATTTTTGGCGCCCAACGTGGGTTGATGACGTCCAACAACACAGAAGAAGAGGAGTGACATTAACTTTCATTTGTGTTGGATTGTGATTAGTGTATATTTAATTTGGAATTCCTATTTGGTAACGTTAATT